AGCACCTGGGAGCTGTTAACTATCTCATAGCATCCCCCCCCCCACCTCAAACCTAAAGTCTAAAGTGTACCATGTTAATTCTCTAAAGCCCTTTTATTCCAGAGAATTAAAGGTTTGTCAGTTTACAGCCCAGGGAGGAGATGACGCTGAGTGGCCTGAAGGTGTGACTATGAAGGAAAAAGTGATGGTGGTGTGGAAGAGGTGAACCTCTCCATGACCCTCGGACGTATGCAGCGACAGCAGATCAAGGAGCTGTGCACTAGCTTCACGACGATGTTCTCAGCCACCCCAGGACGGACCAAACGGGCATACCACTCCATTGACACAGGTAATGCTTGCCGGGTGACTCCTCAAGCCAAAACTGCTATAGAAGGGGAGATCCAGGACATGCTACAGATGGGTGTAATCCACCCCTCTGAAAATGCATTGGCATCTCCAGTGGTTCTAGTTCCCAAACCAGATGGGGAAATACGCTTTTGCGTGGACTACCATAAGCTAAATGCTGTAACTCGCCCAGACAACTATCCAATGCCACGCAAAGATGAGCTATAGGAGAAACTGGGACGTGCCCAGTTCATCTCTATCTTAGACTTAACCAAGGGGTACTGGCAAATACTGCTAGAGGAGTCCGCCAAGGAAAGGTCAGCCTTCATCACCCATAAGGGGCTGTATGAATTTAATGTGCTCCCTTTCGGGCTGCGAAATGCACCCGCCACCTTCCAGAAACTTGTAGACAGTCTCCTAGCAGGATTGGGAGAATCTGCAGTTGCCTACCTTGACGATGTGGCCATATTTTCTGATTCATGGACAGAACACCTGGAGCATCTACAAAAAATCTTCGAATGCATAAGGGAAGCAGGACTAACTGTTAAGGCTAAGAAGTGTCAAATAGCCCTAAACAGAGTGACGTACCTTGGACACCAGGTGGGTCAAGGAACTATCAATCCCCTACAAGCCAAAGTGAATGCTATCCAAAAGTGGCTTGTCCCAAAGTCAAAGAAACAGGTCCAATCCTTCTTAGGCTTGGCCGGATATTACAGGCGATTTGTACCGCACTACAGCCAAATCACCGCCCCACTGACAGACCTGACCAAAAAGAAACAGCCAAATGCAGTTCAGTGGACTAAAGAGTGTCAGAAGGTCTTTAACCAGCTTAAAGCGACACTCATGTCTGACCCTGTGCTAAGGGCCCCACACTTTGACAAACCTTTCCTAGTAACCACAGATGCATCTGAGCGTGGTATGGGAGCAGTCTTAATGCAGGAAGGACCAGATGAAGAATTCCATCCTGTCGTGTTTCTCAGCAAAAAACTGTCTGAGAGGGAAAGCCACTGGTCAATCACCCAAAAGGAATGTTACGCCATTGTGTACGCTCTGGAAAAGCTACGCCCATACGTTTGGGGACGGCGTTTCCACCTGCAAACTGACCATGCTGCGCTGAAGTGGCTTCATACCGTCAAGGAAAATAACAAAAAACTTCTTCGGTGGAGTTTAGCTCTCCAAGGTTTTGATTTTGAAATACAACACATTTCAGGATCTTCTAACAAAGTGGCTGATGCACTCTCCCGTGAAAGTTTCCCAGAATCAACTGGTTAAAATCATCCTTAAAACATGGAAAATGTTAGTTTTTATATAATCAGTAGTATGTCTAGAGGTGCATGTGTCTTATTAACTCTGTTTTCTTCTAGAGCTCCAGGAAGAAATCACAGTCAGTGTGGAACAGGCTGTCCAGCACCGTCTGTGATTTGGGGGATATGTCATAAACATAAAGATACGGGTAGCATAAAATCCCCCCTTGCAGCTGTACTGAATCGCTGTAAGAAGCTCAAATAACCTGGTTGGCACCTGACCAGAAGGACCAATAAGGAAAGAAGATCCTTTCAAATCTGCGAGGGGAGGTTTTTGTTTGTGCTCTCTTTATTTGTTCCCTCTCCGGATGGGAGAGAGAGACCAGGCAGGTAAAACATCTCCTGAAACCCTACCTGAAATGATCCATCTAAGATTACAAAAATTTTAAGTATGGCAAGGAAATGTATTAGATCAGGGGTCGGCAATGTTTGGCACGCGGCTCGCCAGGGTAAGCACCCTGGCGGGCCGGGCCAGTTTATTTACCTGCTGACGCGGCAGGTTCGGCCGATCGCGGCCCCCACTGGCCGCGGTTCGCCGTCCTGGGCCAATAGGGGCGGCGAGAAGCGTCACGGGCGAGCGATGTGCTGGCCGTGGCTTCCCGCCGCCCCCATTGGCCCGGAACGGCGAACCGTGGCCAGTGGGGGCCGCGATGGGCCGAACCTGCCGTGTCAGCAGGTAAATAAACTGGCCCGGCCCACCAGGGTGCTTACCTTGGCGAGTCGCGTGCCAAACATTGCTGACCCCTGTATTAGATTATCTTTTGTTTTAGCTTGTGAATTTTCCCTGTGCTAAAAGGTAGTTTTATTCCTGTTTTTGTAACTGTGAAGTTGAGTCCAGAAGGGAGTCCTCTGTGTTTTAAATCTTTTTATTACCCTATAAAGTTATCTTCCATCTGGATTTTGCAGGTGTGATTCTTTTACTTTTTCTTTAAATAAAGTTCTTCCTTTAAGAACCTGATTGATTTTCAGTGTCCTAGAGACAAAGGGTCTGGTCGGTATTCACATTATTCTCAAGCCTCCACAGGAAAGGGGGCAAAGGGGCTTGGGGAAATAGGGACTCCAAGTGACCTTTTTCCTGAATTTTCATGTAAATCACTTGGTAGTGGCAGCAACACCGTCCAAGGACAAGGAATTGTACCTTGGGGAAGTTTTAACCTAAGCTGGTAAAATATAAGCTTGGGGGGTCTTTCGTGCAGGTCCCCACATCTGTATCCCAGAGTTCAGAGTGGAGAGGGAACCCTGATACTTGCTGTGTGGTCTTACACAAGTCACTTTACTTTTTTGCCTCAGTCTACCCATAAAATGAGGGTAATGATAGATATCACCTCATTTGGGTGTTGCAAGGCTTCATGGAGGAGTGTGACATGCTTTGAAATCCTGAGATGAAAAGCACTCTATAATAATATGTTGTATTGTATTGTAGAACACAGGAGCTATTGGACAAATTGTTAGTTTCATATTTTCCAAAGCCTTTACACTACCTGCAGTTACAGAAAGGTATAATTTGGTGCTTAACTAGATTATTTGTACAATATTTTCCCATGGACATTGTGACAAATGCCATGCTTTGGTAGCCTGGAATATTGAAAACTACTGTAGTGAGATGCAACAGATGCTATGGACGCATGGGATATTCAAAGACTATCATATCAACTTTATAAATGTATGTATTTTTGTGGACTGGCTAGTGATTGCACTCCTGGCTAAATGAGGAAATTAAAACATTTTCTATAGGATCCAAAGTCACTTGCAGGGGGTGGGAGGAGAGAATGCAAATTTCTAGTGCCAGTAACAAGTGTGAGGAAGTTTCACTCGCCGGAGGCAATAATATATACTGGTTCGATCTGGCTAAAAATGTCAAACTGTATGAAGAAACAGCTTTGATCTGGAGAGGAGGGTCACTCATACACGATTCAAGAACTGACATAAAACTCTGACCGAGAGAGACATACCCTGTGAAAAGGGCCTGAAGAATTCTGACCTTATCGGGGTCTCTATGAAGAAGACGGATGACTGTCTGGTAAGCCAAGAGCTGCATATAAGCTTTTTATTGTTTTTAAGGTATGATTCATTGGTAATGCTTTTGTTCTGAATAGTACTTTGTTTTATAAAAGCAGGCGGTCACTGGTTAACTGTATCATTGCCCCTGAGAAAACAGGACTACAGGTACTGAACTAAAGTCAGACCTGCTGAGGTAATCACAGTGAATCACAGGAGTCTGCAGTCTAACTCCCTGGTCTGTAGGGAGTGGATAGCAGGATCCCACCCTAAGAAAAGTGATAGCTAGAGGATAGAGCCCTAAGTGTAATCACGCAAGAAGATCACGAAGGGGTGCAGTTACTTTGGGGACTGTGACAGTCATTACTGGAAAAACTCTCATTATTCTAAAATGGTAATGCTACTGAAGATATTGGCTATTACCAAGATTTTCATGTTTAACAATAGCTCCAGCTTTTGTTCTACGGGACCTAATCATTTCCAGGAATTTCGAGATTTAGTATAGAAGGCTAGTTTTCCACCTAATCTTTCTATTTCAGTGGCTGCAGCACCAACGTACTCCTTAAACAGTGTCAAATTTTCCAAGCTCTTTCTTTGTTAATAGTTTAACTCTGACTCCTGTAAGTTTGACTATTCAGTTTCATCAAAAATAAGTCTACTACTCTTTTCAAAAGTCCTCGTTGATGGTATTGACGTCCAACCTCTGAGAAATTCTCTATCAATTAGGGCCTGATCTAAAGCCCACTAAAGTCAATGGGGGTCTTTCCAATGATGTCAAGGGACTATAAATCATGTGCTTAGAGATCTTCAATTCCATTCAAATGACAGTCTACTTGTCATACTGTGTAACTTCATTTTTTCCAGTTATACTAATTTATTTGTCCCTTCTGGATTCAGCTGCCCATTAAAGGAAGGTTGTTTCTCATTTCAAAACTAAAAACACTACTGCCTTAAGAGTGAAACTCAATCTGAGCAACACAGTGTGAAGTGCGGGAAGATCATAGGTTAAACTGTAGCATTTCTTCAGAAGAAAGCAACATACCTAATCTGTTACACAGTATTACAGCGGCAACTACTTCCTCTTCAAATTTGACATCTAAAGAAGATACCAAATCTAAAGCAATCTTTTTGCTAATGAAAACTCCAATCCCTCACTCACTGCTTCTACCAAGAACAAACTTGCTTCAGAACACAATGATTATTTAAGAATTACAAATAATTGAATCAAATTAAATTTGGAGTACTTGAGTGGGAGAGAAGGGCTGTTTTTGCTTCATTTTGAAGAAAGTTTTTTCAGGAGATCATTCTGAGCATCTTGACTTGTGCAAAGAGGAGAAATTCTAAAACTGAAAAAAGGACACATTTTTCCCTTACCTGAGATGCTCCAGCGAGGCAAGGCACTGAAACTGGCACATTAGACAACTGCTCCAAATGCTGTTCAGATGATCTCTGCACCTCCTGTCTTTGTCCATCGTTAACCACCGCACTCCTTCCGAGTTGCCCATAGTCTGCTCTACCCCACGTGAAGACCTTGCCAGTTTCTAAATACAAATACATAGTTATGGGTTATTTCTCCATTACAGCCAGACAATGTTTGGAACGCTAATTTCAAAACTAGAACAGCCGACTCTATGTACTGTTTACTGCATCCTACCTAAAAGCTCAGAGAACACAACAGTGAAAAAGTGAGGAATCTACTTACTCTTTGGAGCATGAGGGGAGAAAAGGTATTAAAGTTTAGCTGAGAAACTCATTGCAATTTACCCAAACTTCAGCATTTAGTTTTCAAACAGAAATGCCATGTCTGACGAGGCATGGATTGTACATGCAATTGTCTCAGTAAATCTGCATCCTCTAGATGTGCTGTATAGAATTTTTATACGTATTTGTTTTACAAAAGAAACCTTTTTGTTTTGTTTTAAGAGACACACACATAAAATAGCTAACATTAAATTCCAAGAGATTTTCCTTCCGTCCTAGTATTTGGCACAGAGACATCCTGTGTCCCTGTATTTAACATAAGGTTTATGTCTTCTTCGGAGAAGATACCTTCTGCCACAAACTTCTGTTAGCTGCAGAATAGTGGTTTCTTCTGCATGGTAACTGATGATGGGGGAATGGTGCCACAACATGCCCTGGGTGTCCCTAGCCTCTGATTGCCTGAAGCTGAGAGTGGACAACAGGGGATGGATCACCCAATGATTGCCTGTTCTGTTCATTCCCTCCGAAGCACCTGGCATTGGCCACTGCTGGAAGACAAGATTCTGGGCTAGCAGGACCAGTGTGCCTTTAAGTGAAGTGTCTGGGGAAAATCTCAGCTCTGTGAGCAAAGGCTGTTGCATATCTTTCCCACATCAAGAGGAAGGTGAACTTTATAATAATAATAATAATAATAATAATATATGGAGATATACATATCTCTTAGAACTGGAAGGGACCCCAAAAGGTCATCGAGTCCAGCCCCCTGCCTTCACTAGCAGGACCAAGTACTGATTTTGCCCCAGCTGTATGAATTTTCTGCATGAATTTTCACTAGTATATGTTTGCCTGGGCAAATTTATACACTTCATGCTAGGGAATTAAGCCTTCTTTCAAAAGAAACTTGCCCTTGGAAAGTCTGTATCTGAGACAAAGATCAGTGTTGGATTGAGCTGTCACTGATTTGACCCTGTATTCAAGTTAACTGTTCCCTTGGTGTACATGTTAGCATAATACCCTGTACATATTTGATCTAAACCTCGGTACAGGTGCCATCACTTCTGTGACCTAAATGTTAGGTTAACTTGTATTTGTGGAAGAGGCCCCCTCAAGGATTGAACTCACAACCCTGGGTTTAGCAGGCCAATGCTCAAACCACTGAGATATCCCTCCCCACAGCTAACCCTCCCCTGTGTTAATGACCTAACACAGTACAGATCCCTATGCAGTGCAAGACGGTATAAGTTTGGGTTTATACTCCAGCAAGGGTACAAGTTGGAGGAGCTGGGAAATTGGCTGTTGCCTCCTGCCTGTCTTTGAGTAGCTTAGGTAAAGCACTCAGGTAGCGCAGTGTGGGTGTGTGGCGCCACCAGCTATCATGTTGGGTGATAACAGGGCCTGGAGAGGCTGGCTGGAATCACCAACAAAGCAATGTGAGTTAGACCAGCAAAGCTGGTGGATTAAGGGGCACAGCAGTTCCCACAGCTCCCAGACTGCACACCAGGGGTGACAACCCATCACAGTGGGTTTATAGTAAGCATGCTTGTCATGACTGAAACCTGTTTGCCTTTTCCTAAATAGACTGAAGGATGCAAGAAAGTTAACAGGGGCAAGTCCAGATCATATTAGATCATTCTAGGAAAAAATGTAAAGGTTGTTGGTAAGACAAAGAGAATCCCTACTGTACGGCTGCTTTGATACATACCTGAAACATTTTTAGCAAGTATATTTTTAAACATATGGTATATCCTAATAAACAATCTGATACTGAGGGCTAGTCTACACTAGAAAAGTTTTCCTGGTCTAGCTGTACCAGCAGATCTATATGGGCAAACCCTCCTAGTGAAGACACAGGTTATACCGGCTTTTGCAGGTACAGCTTATACCCGTTCCCCCAAACAAAATCAGCTACACCAGCAAAAGCACTTTTTGTACAACTGCGTCTACAATAGGGCTTTTGCCAATATAAAAATCTCATTAAAATAAAAAACATCCCAAACCATTATTATACTGGTAAAAACTTTAAGTATAGACCTGGATTTAGGTTCTGATCCTACAATTGACAGTACACAGGTGGACTACTGTCCCCCACGCAGAGTCCCATTCACTGTAATGGGGCTAAGCAAGGGCAGAGCCTTTCACCCACATGCTATCACCTGCAGGATTGGTCGCAAATGCCCTGATTCTACAAACACACACCTGCTTAAACTCTGCTACTGCGAGTAGCGTCAACAAGACTTAAGCACAGATGTGTTTGCAGGAATATTGGCCATAGAGAGGAAGAACAACAACAATATTTAGTTCTTAGACAGTGCTTTTTATCTACAGATCTCACTGTGCTTTACAAAGCAGGGAAAGTAGGACTAGCTCTGTCTAAACATCTGGTTACTTTTATGTGAGGCTAAGATTATGTGACAGAGGTCGTGGAATCCATGACTTCCAGAGACCTCCATGACATTTTCTGCTTCAGTTGCAGCAAGTGACGGGTGGGTCCCGCAGTTCCCAGCCACCATGGGCAGCAGGGAGGACCCCAGCACTCTCAGCTGCCCTGGCCAGCAGCAGGGGGACCCCAGAGCTGCAGCAGCAGTGAGTGCTGGACCCCCCTTCTTCACCACTTTGTCACACTTAATTTTAGTAAAAGTCAGGGGCAGGTCATGGGCTTCCATGAATTTTTGTTTATTGCCAGTGACCTGTCTGTGACTTTTACTAAAAATAACCATGACAAAATTTTAGCCTTATTTATATGATCCACATCACCATAATATCTAAGCATGACAGAGTATTTAAAAATACAAATTGGAACAACAACAATTCCTTCTCTCTTTCATTCCCACCTGTAGGGGAAACAGCTTGATTAGTTTACAGGGGGTTATTTGTGTGCGTGTGTGCAGAACTTATTAGAGGAAAACTAAGTCAACCAAATTAGTTCTGCATTTACAGGAAGATTTTCAAAGGCACAAAAGTCAGTTAGGCACCCAATTCTCTTCATCTTAGTTCTGAAAGTGGTTAATTCTATGTCAGTCTTATCTTTTATGGGAATGAGTTCCATAGCCCCGCTTCAGAGCGTCTTGGAAACATCCCAGATCTGGCCACTGGCACCAACTGGATCTTATCATCACAAGGCGTACCAACCTTAACACTGTCCTCATTACCACAGTTATCAAAGTGCTGATTGCGACACAGACCACACTCTGCTATGCAGTAAGGTCAGACTTAAACCAAAGAAAATACATAGATCTAAAGTAAAAGGATGCCCTTATACCAACATCAGTGCCATTGCGGACTAAGAAAAGTCACAGCAGTACAAGAACATACTACAACAAGCCCTTGACTCCAGTGATTGTGCCACAAGCGCCCAGCTGAAGTGGGAGCAACTGAAGAACACAATCTACGATACAGCTGTCTGTCTGTCTTTGGGAAGAAGGAAAACAAGACCAATGACTGGCTTGGCACATATCCCAATGTGTTGACACCAGTCTTGGAAGCCAAACGCACAGCCCAAATCAACTACAAGAGAGACCCAAATGAAAAAACCTTACAAGCGCTGAGAATGGCAAGAACCAAGGTACAACAAACTGTTTGACGCTGCACCAATTACTATTGGCTGCACTTATGCAAAAGCAACCAAGTAGCAGCTGATACAGGCAATCTCAGAAACATGCATGATGGTGTAGACGTTCCGGGGTGAGGCTTGTCCCTTACAGGGGCGGCTGGGAGCCAGGCCGCCTCACCTCACGAGGCTGGGAAGCAGTTCAGTCTTGCACTCCCGGGCCTAGGTCGGGCGGGCAGCCAACCGTAGTACAGGGCTCAGGCCCGCAGGCAGGGCTGAGCAAACAAATAATAGTTCAGGGGCTCAGGCCCTCAGGCAGGGGCTGAGCAGACAAATAACAGTTCAAGGCTCAGGCCCTCAGGCAGGAACTGAGCAGACAAATAACAGTTCAGGGCTCAGGCCCTTCGGCAGGGGCTGAGCAGACAAATAACAGTTCAGGGCTCAGGCCATTAGGCAGGGAGGAGGAGAGACTGCCACCCGGCGTGGGGGTGGCAGGGGGGAACACAGGCCCATCCACTCCACTGTGTTCCAGCCCGGGGCCCTATCACCAGCAGTCCGTCTGCTGCTGGGTCAGTGGGGATCCTGACCGCAACACACTGACATGGGTTCGGGGTCTGCTATCCCTGGGCCACTTTCCATCTCCTCCTTCATGGGTACCTGCACATCCTGAGCCTTGTCGGCCGTGTCCCAGACCATGGGCTCCTCCGGGCACCGAGCGCTGTGTAGGTTGGTCGGTTCCTCCGGACCCTCGGCGGGGGGAAGCTCAGGCCGCTCCTCAGGATACCGGGCTCGGGGTCGGCTCGGCCAGTCCTCCTCAGGATACCGGGCTCTGGGCAGGCTCGGCCAGTCCTCCTCAGGATACCGGGCTCTGGGCAGGCTTGGCCAGTC